CCCGCCTCAGCCTCCCAGAGTGCTAGGATTACAGGCGTGAGCCACCGCACCTGGCCCTAATTCTTAACATCTTCAAGGCAGGAATGTATTTTTTACTTCCTCTGTATTCTCCAAGTACTAAGCACTGTGGAAATATACGATAGTTAAGGGCTGTGTCAAGTACATTAACATCAAGAAGAAATATTAGTATAAAATAATGACATACTTTGATGAGTTAAAATTATTTGGAGAAAATATAGAAAACAATATGTGCAGTAGTGTCCCTCTTATCTATGGTTTCGCCCTTGGTCAACTGCCATCTGAAAATATTAAGATAATTTGAGAGAGAGAGAGAAGGGGAGGGGGAGAAAGAGACAGACACCACATTCACATAAGTTTTATTACAGTATATTGTTATAATTGTTCTATTTTATTATTTCTGTTAATCTCTTACTATGCCTAATTTATAAATTAACCTTTATTATAGGTACTTATGTATAAGATAAAAACAGTATATATAGTATATATAGGGTTCAGTAGTAGCCTTGGTTTCTGACATCGAGGGAGTCTTAGAATGCACCCCCTGCAGATAATGGCAGAGACTACTGTAATATAAACTGAACACAATTCCTAAGATGAATGCACATTCGTACTTTGGAAAAGAAGCTACAAAGGATATTTGAAAACCATGTGATGTGCAACTTCAAGAGACTGCCAATATTCATCTGGAACAAAACTGGTCTGCACTAAAAAGCAGTTAAATATTCGCAAAGCTATGGTAAACAACACCAGATAAATGTTTTCTCCAAGAAGATCTGAAAAACAAAACAGGTAATTATGGCACAAAAGTCTGGCAGTTCCACTTGTAGAACTTAAAATCTGCTGCTCTGGTTGGCCCTTTGGTCCGGCTCTGTTAAGGCACAATAGTGAACTCTGGCCCCTTCACACCACTTTCAAAGCCCACCTAGGGAAAGTTCTGCACCACTTGGTGATCACCGTTCTTTTTGCTTAACCAACTTTTCTTGCAACTTATTGTATAAAGAGAATATTAAGATAAATGTTGAAAAAGAGACTGGGTTAATTAAGGTCTTAGGCTAATTATTAATAGGTAATACTACATGTGTATTTAATGAAGGAAACCAGCTAATAAATTATTAGGACACAACCCTTTGTATGTGTACCGAACAGTGGTATAAAATGGCCCCCTTTACTGATGTTTACTATACACCAGGCACTGTGTTAATTCCTTTACATGTGTGTCAATTCTCCAAACAATGCTATGGGGTAGGTATTATCAGCCCCATCTTACATGTGAGGAAACTTAGGCTCAGAAACTAAAATGCCTTATCCAAAGTAAAAAAGTTGTAAGTTACTAAACAGGATTCAAACCCAGATCTGTCTGCTAACTCCAAAGTCCTGCTCTTAACAACAAACGGACAGACTGTAAGCTGAATAAAATATTTTTTAAAATTTGAATTTAGTTGCCAACACATAAAAATCAGAATTTATATTAAAATCTGTATTTCCAGCTTTTCAAGACTCTTTAAGATCTGGCAACGCAAGCTCAACTGGCTGGTAGTGAAATACAGGGTCCTCTCACAAGCCCTCCAGAGAGCGGCCCCTCACTCACCCCCTCGGCGCCCGGTGCTCTTCTCCTGGGCGCTGAGGTACAAGGTAGATTTTCTCTTTCGCAGCTTCGTCTTCTCCTGGGAGCGGCTCTGGAGAGCGCGTAAGGCGAGGCTGCCATCGCCGCCCTCCCGCTCCATTGCTCTCCTGCTTGGACGTCGGCGGAGAACCTGGACCAACACTTTTCCTGGGGCGGAAGGAAGCTGCAGCGGCGCGCGCTGCGCTGTCACCACTAAGTTTGGCCTTTGCGAGCAGCCATCGCTCGCAAGCGCGGAAGTAGCCGGGAGGGCAACTTCCTTCCTCGTGATCTCCTGGGTTGAATGCTGCCGAGTTAGTGTCAGCCGCTACGCTTTGCCGCGGGCTGGTCTGCGCTTTCCCCTTGGGCTTTTTGGCTCTGTGGTCTCTGCGCTCCTTGTCCGGAACCTGCCGTAAGGAGCCCGCCCGATCTCACCTGTGCGGGGTCAGCGGGGAGGCTGGGTTAGCGACGCGCAGCAAGGGCAGAACAGTCGGAGGGGCCTGGTTATTTTATTTTTAAAAAATGTCTGTTCAGGCCGGGCGCGGTGGCTCACTCCTGTAATCCTAGCTCTCTGGGAGGCCGAGGCGGGTGGATCGCTCAAGGTCAGGAGTTCCAGACCATCCTGAGCAAGAGCGAGACCCCCGTCTCTACCAAAAAATAGAAAGAAATGATCTGGACAACTAAAAAAAAAAAATATATATATATATAGAAAAAATTAGACGGGCATGGTGGCGCATGCCTGTAGTCCCAGCTACTTGGGAGGCCGAGGCAGGAGGATCGCTTGAGCCCAGGAGTTTGAGGTTGCTGTGAGCTATGGTAATGCCACTATACTCTAGCCCAGGAGACAGAGCGAGACTCTGTCTCAAAAAAAAAAAAAAAAAAAGTCTGTTCAGCATTCCCCTGAGTGGTTATTAAGAATGGTAATGATAATTATAAATGACAGTGTTGGTATAACATTCACTGGGTGATTTCACAAATACCTATTGAGTGAGGTAGGCAGAATAGGGATGATTTAGCCTGTCGTACAGATGTAGAAACAGGCTCAAACGGTTCCTATGGTTTCTGTTTTTGAAAACACTTTGTAGCCACTGAACCAAAGCAAGATTGGTGAAGTTGTCATTTATCTAAGTCAGCCATAGAGTTTAGGAGAAGACGGGCTTTTCTTTCCCAGGTTAGTTTAAATTACATTCCAGGGATATTAAAAGCAAGCTAGTTTCTAGTACGGGTTTCGCCACTAATGACTTTTGTGACCTTTGTGACCTCGGGGGCTGGCTTAGCAGGCCGCAAAAGTGTTGTTACAATTCAAAAAACAAGTAAATCCTTTGCTGTGCTTTCCTCATTCACAAACATCTATCTGGTTTCTCCAGAGACTAAGGTGTTGGCAAGGAATATTACTTTCCAGGAAGTATTAGGGTCTTAACTCTTCAACTGTTAAAAGTGAAGCCAGCCAAATTGCTATTGTACTTTTGTCAGAAATGAATGGCAAATGATTTTTATTTGATATCTACTTTTACTTTATTAAAGTATCAAAAGGAACTCATAAAATCTTTTAGCCTGTTTTTAAAAATTGTTTTTATCATACATGTTGATAAAAAACATGAATAGTACAGAAGGACTAATGAAAAATACCGATTCTCCACCTGCCTTTCTCCTGCTTCCAGATCATATTCCTCAGAGGCAATCACCGTCAACTTTTTTTGGCTGTTTCTTTTAGTAGTTTTATAGTATGACTTTAAAGGTATAAAGAGTATGCCTTCCTCTCCCTCCTTTTGCCATTTAAAAAAATTATCCATTTAAAGCCATTCTGTAATAGAAGAGGATTTAGCTTTGTCATACACCATCCTCTAACCCCCATTTCCCATACTCCCTATGTGTTTATATTTCTATTTTAGTTAGTAACATATTATTATAAAAATATCGTTCAGTGCGAAGTAGTGACATAAAATCTTTAAAAAGGATATTGTTCTAAGTTACTGCTTTGCTTCCCATTTGCTTTGTATACAGATCTGAAGAGATTTCCTGGATGTGGAGTGTGACTTTCCAAAACCACCTTTGCCTTGTGCTGTGTTTGTTGCAACAATGTTTGGGAGATTGACTCTTCCACAACTGCTTTTTGCTAGCATCCTTGGAATTGCTTCAGGAATATATATTTATCAACCAATATATGAACAGTATTCCAGAGATCAGAAGGAATTAAAAGAAAAATTGAAATTGGCACAAGAATCAGAAAAGAAAAGTTAATACTACATAGAGTTGAACTGTAATGATTAAAGTTCCACTGAAATTATACATTGACTGTAATCTAATAAAAACTTAGATATATTTTAAACATAAATCATGGATAATGATTTTTTAAATCAGCACTGTTAATTTTAATGTTTACTATACTTTTATTTGCCATTTTATGTCTTATCACCAAGACAATAATTTCCTTTTAAACAAAAATGAATGTTTTAGGGATATTTTGTTTTCTAGTTGGGGTTTATTTTTCTGGGATGCAGTGTCATGGGGTGACAGTCTAGGTGTGTATTAAATTATGTTTACATTAGTATTTGTAGATAAGTGAACCAAGTTAAACCACCTTAGGCAGAAAAGTCCCTCAATTAACTTGGTTTAACATACAGTAGTATTTGTACATACTTTAGCAGTCTTTCAGCCCCAGCCATTTCTCATCCTAGGCAGTATGGAGGAGTACTTGAAAAATTGTGTAGCTCAGATCAAATTGAATTACTGTATCTGTTCATTTCACAACCACAGAGAGATACCACTTTATGTTCACTGGGATGGCCACAGTCAAAAAGATGGAGAATAACAAGTGTTGGTGAGGATGTGGAGCAATTGGAACTTTAATACACTGTTGGTGAGAATCTAAAACACTGTAGTCACTTTGGAAAAGTTTGGCAGTTCTTCAAATAGTTAAACATAGAGTTGCCATATGACCTGGTAATTCATGTCCTACGGATCTACCCAAGAGACTTGAAAACAGAGGCTGGCACGTGAGTATTCATAGCAGTATTATTCATAATACCCAAAAAGTGGAAACAAGTGTCCATCAATTGATAAATGGATAAATAAGTGGTATATCCATACAATGGAATACTATTTAGCTATAAAAATAAAGTACATGTTACGATATGGATAAAATTAGAATACATTTGTATGACATGTCCAGAATAAGAAACTATATAGAAAAATATATATTATTTATGTATATATTATATAATATATAGAGAAAAATATAGTCGATTAGTGGCTGCAGGGATGAAGAATGATACAGTGGCTATAGTTTTTAGGGTGATGAAAATGTTCTGGAACTAGACAATGGTGATCAAGGTACAACTTTGTGAATGTATTAACCACTGAATTTTAAAGAGTGAACTTTATTGTGTGTGAATTATATTTCAATAAAACTGTCAAGAAGATACTGGATTCAAAATAGCTGCAATTGTAGTCCACTGTTTTCTGCTATTGTGACAGTCCATAATCCATCTATTTTTTGGTGATGAAATATATATAACATAAAATTTATCATTTTTTAGTGTACAGTCCAGTGGCATTAAGTATATTCATACCGTGCAACTATCACCACCATCCATCTCCAGAACTTTTTCCATCTAGTTTTTTCAGGGCCCAGAGAGGTGAATTAAATGGGGATATAGAGACCCCATCGCTATATCTTTCATATCTTTGAAGGTGGCATTAATGTCTGCAATTCTTTGTCTAAATTGCTTCTAATTTACTATCTTATTCGGGTAAGGCAGATTCAGGCAGATTCAGTTGGCCCTTTCTACCATAAAGGCTCTTATATCACAGATCAATGTGAGGTCTCTGCCAACTACTGAGTTTGTATTTATCTCACTTAAGAACTGCTGCAGGGTGGGAGCGTGGAAACCCAACAGAGTGGGTCCTGTTAGATTAGTTTGGGCTAAACCTGCATTCATCCTTTCACCTCCATGAGCCCCTGCTCTTAACTGAAGGACCATAGTGGTATTTCTTGTCTGCTTGTACCAGTCAGCTTAGGTCCTGTATCCAGTGGTCATCAAAGTCTGAGTATTCCTCTTGCCCCAATATACATTTATCCTGGTTAATGGTGTTATGTCTCTTGGGGGATAGGAGTGGGAGAATGTTTTTATATATTTTTGTGGTACTGAAGAGTCCTTCCTCAAGTGGATACAGCTTCTTCGATCATTGAGCTCAAAGTCTATGAAGTCTGTAAAGTGGCTTAGATCAGGAAACTGGTGAGGGACCATGAGTTCCATTGTGGCAACTGACATTAGCCTTCTGCACACTAGTTGTCAATTTCCTTTAAAAAATTATATTTATGTATATAAAAATATATATGCATACACACACAAGTCAAGAAATACCCCTCCCCCCATAAAAAGAAACACTCCTCCTATCTTTCCCTTTAGCATACCATGATCTATTAGCCATGGCCACAGATCCCTGTGGGTCAAGACACCCTGGTTGCGCTCCAGACTTGCTTCCCGTTATGGCAGTTATGTCCTGCTATAATGTCTGTCCTTTGCCTTTTTGAATTCTTTCATTTCTAGTTGATTCTAGGGAGCCCTGTTGCAGCAGCTTCTTTTGTCAACCCCAGCCTGTAAAGGACAACCACCATTAAGCTTTTCAAAGATGTTAGTGCCCTTCTCACCCATGTGTCCATTCTTGTCCCAGTGAAGGAGTTATCATCAGGGCCTTCCCAGGTAACATAATTAGGGGTTGCTTTCCCCAGTCTTACAATAAATCCATTCTAATTCTAAGATCAGGAGGGCAGGATAGGGGGAGTCAAAGTTTAAGAGGGAAAGCCAAGACAATGATATACTGCATTTTCAAGTGGGCCACTAATATAGGCGACTAGATCGTATGGAATTTTCTGAAGAGACTGTTTTTATTACTTTGAAATAATTTCAAACTTAGAGAAAAGGTACAAAAATAGGAGAAAGAATTTTCACACAACTGTTACCCAGATTCAATAATTATTAACATTTTGCCACATTTGCTTTAATCTCTCTTTCCTTATATATGTAGGTAGGGGCGTGTGTGTGTTTGTGTGTGTGTGTGTGTGTGTGTATACTCACACATATATACGTGTGCAAACTCATTATTTTCCTAAATCTTTTGAGAGTAAATTGCACACATGATGCCCTTTTATCCC